TTAAAGTTTTAAAAATTTGAGATGGAAAAAGCAAGAAAAGTAAATTTAATTTTGTAGGTACGATAAGCATGTTGCACCCCTTTTGATATTACTTCATGTCTTTAACTAATTGTAAAGGTGATGTGTCTCGTAACCTTCCTGTTGCAGGAATTAGGTATCCCCTGTCAAAGCTGCAGCGTGCAAGCTTGCTGCAAAATCCTTGCTGCTTTCTCACCTTGGCTGGTTTTCCCTAGTGCTTGCCAAACTTCCGATTCTCAGCACTTTTACTATAGCCCATTTTGTGTTTTCCAATTGACTTACCCATCCACTTTTCATCAGTTATAAATTTGTGTTAGTTTAGGAAGTATATCTTTATATATCTTAACTCAATTTTTTTTCTTTTTCACTACTGGCACAGTTTTGCTCCTGACTAACTGACACCAATCAATCAATCAATCTGAGACCCTTTGTTTTTCCCTTGACAGCACTCCAATGGGTTGCCAGTTTGTCGGGACTTTGTCTCTGGCCAGTGTCACAGAGAAGCCTGCCGCTATGCCCACGTTAAAGACAGTGAGCTCTCTTTCTTGTGTTAACACTTAGCTGGTTAGCCCCTTCAGCCCAAGTGATAATATTCAATTTCTCAAAGTAAAAAGGGAAAGAAATTTGAAAAAAATTTTTTTACTTCAAAATTTCTTCAGCATTTAATTTATTGGTTTCAATCTTTGTAAAATTCCCTTGTCCAAGCTGTGAGAATGAAATATTGAGCAGTGTGCAGAAGGGGCTAAGCTGTGCTTAAGACCTCTTGCCTGGCAGGCTCCCACTCTATGCTAAATGGCTAGGCTGTGCATATCAGGAAAAAGAATGCATTTATTTAGTACTTTTATTTCACTTTTGCTGGTGAGGCAGCTGCATTGGGGCAATGTTCATTGTACTAGCTGGTCTCCAGACTAAAAATTCTGGGTTAGGGTGTTGAAGGGATCATTATTCTCTGCTTAGGCAAGATACTAAGCTTCAAGAGTTCCTCCCTCTACCAAGCCAAGGGTTTCAATTCTAGCTGGTTACGTGCAGTTTGCTGCTGTTCATCAGACTCCATACTGCTGTCTGTTAGGCATGCCAGCTGGCTTTCGCGTTTGGGGTTTCACTTTGTGCATTCAGTGGGAAACATATGGCTCAGTGGATAGTACACTTAAATTTTTTTTGAGCTTTTGACAGTGACTAACATTTGACAACTTAAGTTAGTCACCATTCCAGACAAAAGGGTCATAACTCAACATAATGAGTCTAGCCAGAGCGGAAACCCCTGTTGCCAACAACAGCTTTTTTTTCAGGATTATCAGTTACCTGCAAGTTCAGACTTAATAATCAACTGCATGTCATCCCTGGGTTCAAATAATTTACTCTACAAGTCAGTGCTCTCCCCCAACCCTCCTCCTATATGTAACCATCCTTGAACAAATATCAGCTCAGTTGCTTCCTTGTAAATCAAGATTAGATATATACTCCATCTCTCTTTGCAATATATGTCCAAAGTTACTTTCATCCATGGATTTTATTGAGAGTTAGGGGAAAACAGGAGAATAACTCTTCCCCAGGCCACTGATGTGAGATTCCTGGGTTATTACTACAGATAACCCAATCTTCTTCTAAATTGTTTTCCTTATTCTCTTCTTTACCTCATCTCTTGAAATCTATTTTCTTTCGGAATTTCCAGTAACTTTCCTTTTGTCCATGCCTTAAGATAATAGGCTTGCATACAAGCTAAGTTTCAGCATCACAGTAGTTTGTACACTTTCCACAGCATCAGCCAATTAGGAGCATTATTTTTAGTACCTACTTCACTCTCCATCATGATCACCACCACCATTCTAGGATTTTGTCTGGTTTCCCTGACTCTTGGGAGGTCATGAAAACATGCTTTACCCTCTGATACCCAAGAGTGACAAGCATCTAATTTTCACTTACAATATCTGAGGCAGATCAGGGGTGGTTCGGTTGAACCCCTAGATTTTCCCTCAGAACGCTGGAAATCATGTCTCCAAAGACCTAATTTTCAACATCTCCGACCCCTCCGGAGGGGGACAATTCTCCAAACCCCCCTTGACTAAATCCTGGATCCGCCCCAGAATATCACTCCTCAATCACACATCAACATCACAATAATAATGGAAATATCATTTCCAACTAAAGAAGCCCTTGATTATTGAAAAAATTCTGCTTGTCAGCAGCTTAGAAAATGTATAGAGAACAGTTACTGATATTAAGGTGAGAGGGGTTAAAAGTGTCTTGACTGGAAGGGGCTTTGACCCAAACCCCTAATCCATTACTCATTGTGTCTTAACCGTAACAACTAAGGTATTCCATCTAGCTTTTGTAAAATTACAATTAGTTGTGTCAGGGTTTTTATATCTGCCAGTACTGTAATTCTTACAATCAGTAAAAAAAAACAACATCAAAATATAATTTCTGCTTTTGTGCCACAATTAATATTCATATATCCATGTGAAAATGATTGGAAACTTGAATTGAAACCAGTAATTATATTTCAATGTTTGGTTTCATAAAGACAGGCGTGTAGCTCCTTTAAGCTAGTAAACCCAAGCTTACAAACTTTTCTTGGAATATTTTTTTCTTGGAATATATATATATACATTCCCTGGCCACACTAAACTTACGAGGGATGGAAGAGGCTTACAAGCCAAAAATGACTTACCACACCCCTGGAAGACACTCCTGTATTAATGTTGGCATGCAGAGATTATAGGCAAGGGGTGGAATATATTGGGATTATGAAATAACTGGATTTTCCCTTTATTTGTACTGCATTTGACATCTTTCCCTCTGATTTGTATCTTTCATCGTTCACAGAAAATGTAGAAGTTGTGGATGGCAAGGTAACTGTGTGCCGTGATGCAGTAAAAGGAAAATGCATGCGACCCAACTGCAAGTATTACCACCCCGAGGTTGGGTCCTCTGGTGTTGCCTCCTCAACAAAGTCAACAAGATAGGACCAGCTGGATAGGCACCTCCAGTCCAAGGATGTTAGGATGGAGGTGAAATTTGGATGAGAGCCATTTTATTTTTGGTAACAGAAGAATGTCTCTACTGGTTATTACCAAAAAATTCTTAAATTCAGGGGAGGTCCCCCAAAGTAACCTTTTGATTCACTTTTGAGCGCCATTGCTAAGCATGCATTGCACATAATTACATGACTTGGATTCCAGGTTTGCATATAATGCTGTGCCTGTAGAGATGCTAGAATAATAACTAAAATTGCTTATCAAAAACATGATAATGCTGAAAGCTTGCACTAGGCACTAGGCCAAAAACAGTAGAGGGAGGGTAAAAATTGCATAATGTAATGGTTGCCAGAGCTTGTGTTCGGCACCTTGGGTGTCAGATGTTTGTCATGTATAAAACAGTTAGAGTGGCCTCAGTGTGAGTAGCCAAGCTGCTACAATGAGCCATTATAATGGTAAAACGATTCTGAATGGTTTCATGACTTACAAAAGAAAAAAAAACCTCTGGTTTCTAGGAAGCCTGGGTGGTAAGGGCACCTAATCACATGGGTGAACAGCAAAGCTAGGTTACCTGTGCAGCTGGGGACCCTTATGGCTAAACAGCTAGCAAGGCCAGGTTACCTTAGCAGGCAGGGCTACCTGTGCCACTGGAATCCCAATAACAGAGGGCTATTGGTGCGGCTGTTAACTAATGGGCAAGTAGGCCAAATAATTGCCACATTTATGACCAGCAACCTGTAGCTTGAATATGACATTGAAAGTTAAAGAGAATAAGTTGTGCCATAATCTAGCCTAAAACAAAAAATGCAAGTTGGTCAAGTATTACAGGTTGTGGTTGACTTAATTGTTCCTTGCCCAAATGCTCATGATGGTGCACTAGCTGGTAAATGCAATTACCTCTGTGATTATATGAGTTTTTGCTGGCATGCAGATGTTTGTTATTTCCTTATCAGTTTGAATTTGCAGAGGAAATAGAAAATATCTGGCTGTTAGCTATTAATGTGTGTTTGTTATTCAATTTGGTTTTCACTCTTCAAGGAAGACCTTCAGAACTCAAGGCAACTGGCACACAATTTCACATAGAGTTTGCTTATTATGGTAATTTGGTTATATCAACTAAGTTGATAATTTAAACTGGCCACCGTAGAGTTAAAAAGCTGATGTTTTGAGTAAATAATAGCCTTTTGTCAGAGCAATGATGAAGGGCTAACACTCGAAACATCAGCATTTTAACTCTTTACTGTGGCCAATTTACGTTATCTGTACTAAGTTGAAACAACCAAATGACCTTGTTACCCCCACTGATGCAGTACCACAGTTTCTTTAGAAACTGACCCCCTTTATTCATTTGCTTCTTATACTCAGGCATAAAAAGTTCATTGTGTGAGCTTTCAAATTTACAAGTGCAACTTTTGTAATCATTTTCTTGATCAGAAGGCATAGAAATTTATCATTCTTTCCTTTACCAACTGATATTTTTCTGACCTTGACTTTTTTATTCCCTCAGTGCAAAATTAAAGATGACAGTTGCATTACTATTCATGCTTTTGCGTGTAATGCAAATTGCACAAATTAGATCGAATTGCACTTCCATGTATTTTTTTTTTTTAATTATAATTAATGTTTTCATTTAAGAATTATTATTGTTTTAGGACCATTCAAAATTGTATTTAAGTGCCATGATGGTC